ATCAGTTGATTTTCTGCCGACTTAAAAATACTGTTTACATCATCGGCGGCGATGTAAATATGAAAATTGCTTTTTTTTTGTGAGAGTAGCACAATCGAAAATAGGTACACTGACAGTTCAGGTTGACGATGATTCAGTACGAACAAATCAATACATTAATCATGAATATTTTAATATTCATTGACGTGTGCACAATCATGCTTCGATGTAGCTTTTATTACGACAACGAGACGATGTCTCGCGTAAATGTGTGAACGTCCCGAATCAGGCGAGCTAATAACCTCTCAAAGTCGTTTAATGCATCGAGAATGGATCGGTCAATTCATTTACTTCGATAATATAAGCGGTGTTTCGTAACCGCAGCCTCTTGTCACTGTGAACGACACGTCCCACGCGTCAAAACAAAACGCACTTACAAAATTACTGGTCAGATGACTCGTACATAATGAATAGGTAGAGAAAAGTTTCACATCCACACTGGCAGAGTGTTGCTAGCAGTGTCGCTTTTTCTAGCGCATGCGATATTTCGCTAATTCAGCTGTGAATCCAGCGATGGAGAAGTTTTGAAGGGTGCCAGATTAGAGAGATTAAATTAAAAGATACGAATAAATTAAAAAAAAATATATATATATAATAAAAAAAGGAATAATAAAAAAAGAGGTTTAGACAATATAGATATTTGAATATTTTATTAATTTTCAAATAATTTTTAGAAACATGTAAGACTTTTTGTATTTAGTGTATTCTATGCGTGTTGCTTGCACATTTTGCACTCAGTATCTTCATTTTCTTTCAACATCCGAATATAATTTATTTTCTTTTAAGAGCGAACTTTTTGGAGATTTCGAATAATACAAACAAATTTAGAAGGTACAGGATGCTTAGAGTACCCCTTTTATGATGATTTCATACGTTACTTATGTGACACGACGCACATTCATGATAAAAAGAGAAATCGCTAGCAACATCAGTCAGATGAATCAAACATCAACCGTCGATAAAGTCAGTCACCCGTCGGTCAATCGTCGTTTCTGAACCTGCCATATTGACTAGGAAAACTGCGCGGACTTTTCGTTCAACTAACCGGTGAATTTTAAATTCGCAACTGTTTTTGACTTGCAAAGGTCGCGATGGATTACTCGTGCTGTGAATCGGCGACAAATATCTGATATTTCAAAGCTTTCAAACGCTAGATTCGGAGAGATTTTTAAAAGACCACAATTCTAGATGTATCTGGCGGAGAGTTTTGTCAAATGCGTAGTGCGGCCATTCGGCCGCCATGACAGTTCCATTGGCGTTTTAGAAATGTAGTGAGTGCGGTCACTCCGCGATTAATCGTGGATTTTACTCGTTAAAAGTGTATGATGATCACGAATTTTTATCGGGAATGTTGATTAATGTGACATTCGTTGATTTCGATCACCAGAATGTGTTGGTTATCGCGGATATTCGCAGTAGACGCTGTTTCGCCGATCGTAATCGGAATTCTGTTCCGAACGTGATTCTGTCTTGTAATTCGGTGAGTATGTATGTACAAATTTCGATACTGTGGATATGCGAAAATAGTTTTTACGTTATTTTGAGGAAATCAAAACGCAATTAACGCACTTTTTTTGTTAGTCGCGTCTTCAGTAGCATCTTGAATATGAATTGAATCATTATATCCCTGACGAAAATAAAAATCGGAACGTAAATCGAATGTAATGGAAGAGTAACAGAAGCGTGAACGAAACTTCTAGAAGGTGAAAATTGAAATATAAAAGAAGCATTTACGCATTTTGATGTTTCAATTTTCGCTTCCTACAAGTTTTTTATATTTCTGTTACTCTCCTATTACATTCGACTTACTATATGCTCTGATTTTTATTTTCATCAAGGAGTTCTCCAAGAAATGTTTTTGTGGACTTCTTCGAGGAGACGTTTTTAACTCGTGTATATTATTTTAAAAATATATCATAGTCATTAAAATTTTAAATTTTTGATCTACAAGAAAATTACATGCATAAAAGTAGAAAAAAAAAGAAACAATAATTATATGGTCAAGAGATTTATAAAATAATGTGTATGAATTAATTGAATTAATTGATGATAGTTGGTAGTAATAGTCATGATTACTTTTTTCTTTGATGATCACAGCTCCTTCTTTCCTCTTATATAATAATTATATTATTACATTATTTATATTATTTTATATAATTATATTGTATTAATATTTAATATTATAA